ATCAGTCACATCTGTGGGGAGAAGGAGGTGAGTCACATCTGGATCTGGCGTGCGATCACGATTGTCCCGCTGAGGACGGTGACACGAGTTTCATACATACGTCACACCTGAGTGCAGGTAACAGTCATGGTGCTGCTGCCGCCTGTTACCGCCTCAGAGTGAAACATGGTGAGTAACAGTAACACTTCTTATTTGTTATACATGTTTCTGGCTGAAGATGAGCAAAGTTTCCAAACTTTATTAAACGACGTCATGGACGTCTCTGTGCGGCAGCTGGACAGACTAGAGGACGCCACGCCCTCACTAACAACATTTTTATAACATGATGCAAACAACACATGAATGTTCGGTCTGGTGCCCGCCTCTTATTTCATCTCTGTTCCAATCAGACGTCTTCTTCCTGTCAAGGAAAACTCCCGTGTCCCTGCTGTTATGCAGTTTGCGGTTTCCAGGGCAGCCTCGCTCTGACTGCACGTGTGTGCGACTCGTGCTCCACGCAAAGACCAAACCTGCAAACTGAAGACTTAGTTTAAAGAGTTAAACTAAGTGGAAGGTGGACCTGACGTCCTTGTTCCTAACATGGTGTTAATGTTGCACAGAGTTTGCTTTAGCCACTCGTGAAATGTTGCAGTTCAGCAAAAGATGAAAAGTTGTCCTGCTCATCTTCTAATTGCTTTAAACGTTTTACTTTGACGGTTCCTAACAGGAAAAGAGGAGGTTAGAAAAGCCACAAGAGATGAAGATCGATGTAGACTGTTGAACTTTAACCTTTAACCTGCTAACTGAGGCCTGCAGAGTCCTGGTGTTTGCACAGCGTGATCGTGGACCAGCAGACTGCGGACACCTGCAGTTAATCAGTCTATTCTTTAATGTTCACCCAGGACTGTCTTTTCAGCCAAAGAAAAGATAATCCTGACAAATATCCACAGAGTACTTTTGCTTCTCTGCAGAGCGGAGGGTCAAGGTCAGGAGTAGGGTTTGAGGCCAGGCGTGGGGTCTTCACTGGTGATCTGCTCCTCCTTTCATAATAAATGACAGGTTTGAGGTTTTGGCTGAACACAGCTGTGACCGTGGACAGACCGGACACAGCAGGCAGGTTTTTTTCACACACGTGTGACCGGATGATGTCGCTACACATGGAACCGGTTTGTGATGGAGGTGTGGAGCAGGCTTTCTTTGGGTGGGGTTGCAGAGGACACCCCCGGTCTAATGCCTGACAAAGAGGACGTTTACGCTCTAAGTTTAGGAGAAAGACCTCTGGGAGTGGGCGTGGCCTGTCTTCAGTTTAAAGCCTGTTCCCAGAAACGTGATTGGCTTCTCGTTTGCACCCAGTCGTCCTCGACCGAGATCTCCTGAACCAGTCGTTGAGTTCTTTCAGTTTTGCTTCGCTCTGTTGGATTTTTGCAGCCTTTAACTTGTGTTTAACCATTTTCTGCCTTCCAGAGTTTACACAGGTGCATCTCCAGCACGCCGCAAGCCTCGAACCGTCCACATGTCCTCTTCCTCCAGCCCGACAGGTCCCATGTTCCTGAATTCTCAGTCTGGATTTAGAATAAGCTGGGTGGATGGGAGCAAAGCCCGGCTGAGCTAATTACAGTTTACCTTTGAAGCCCCCGCAGGTCTGAGCTGAGGTTAAATCACGTCACACAGGACGTCTGTCCTCTGACCCCGTTCTTCGTTCCTCTCTGAAGTGATTAATTTTTCAA